ATGAAAATAACTACAGAATAAAAACAAAACGAGAATACAAAAAAACTAGAATTATTTAGGAATTTTTTCATAACGGCCATCGCATTTCGAGAGTAATGTGTAGATAGCACCTATGATGACTTATGACTTTGTGGTATGGCAAGACAAAACCCATCACTGCAATGAAAATACTTCGATATGAGTTTTAATTTTTCTCTCGTACTTACTTCGCCCATTCTCCTCTCTTATGAATCGTTCGACGTTGTCGTCGTTGCCAGTGTGTGTGTGTGTGTGTAGATATGTTGAGGTTTTTTTCTTCTTCTTCTTCTTCTTTTATTTATACTCTTGATTATTGCATTTTTTTCATGTCTATTTTATTTTCTATCAAACTATTGTTGTTGTTTATTCTTTTTCTTTCATCTTCTTTTTCTCATCTTTATTTCACATTGAATTTTTTGCGTTCTCATTCATCGTCTGTAATTTGAAGGAAATTTTTTAAATGAAATTCAAACTTCAAGTACGTACAAAAACATAGAAAAATTACAAAAGATGACTATGAAAAAACAAAGGAATGCTCGCATTTACTGTGATGCCAGAGTAATTGCTGGCATTAATTTTTTATACACCATCACCAGTGTGATTCAACCGGGACTAACACAAAATAAAAATTTACTAGACATGCTAAAATGGGAGAAGGTCACAATCATATTATCACATCTGCACGTTACAAGCTATAAGGTGTGAAAAATTAACGAGCACGACATATCGTCGATTGCCCGTGTCCTTCTCACAAAAAAGAAACTGTCAGAGAAACGAGTACCATATGAACCGTATGCAAAATGCAATTGCAAAAACAAACACGAACACGTCGGCATCCAGCATTTCAAATAGAAAATAAAAAACAAACTACATTTAATTTTTTGTCAACAAAATCGTTAAATGTTAAACACCTGCAAACCGATTTACAGAAAGTAGAATCTCAATCAAAAAGAAAAAAAAAATGTTTGAAGAAGTTTATTGAAACGAAGAATATATACGACTGTCGAGGAAGAAACATCACAAGTTTTATCGTCATTTAATGGTAATCTTAAGAAATGGTATTTTGCTTGCATTCGGCATAGACGACCATTGCTTCATGTCATTTTAATCTGGTGTTGTAAATAAGCAAGATGAAAAAAGTGCAAACAAACAAATGTGTATTTGGTTGTCAGGCGCATCACACACACACACAAAAATGCGCAAAACATTTTATTTATGACCTTAGAAGTCTACGAACAATTTGTGCAATGACACAAGGTCATGTACACAAAAAACACAAGGATTTACCATGTTCTTTTATGTTTCTAATGAAATGATACTTATAATCAGCGTGGAAATAACGGCGCTCAAGTGTATCTCTAGCGTGTGTGTGTATATATATGTAGTAAGGAAATACTTGAAATTGGAACAGAAAACAAATGATGAGTTTTTTTTTCATCTCAATACGTTTTCTTCTTTTTCACTTCCTCTACTTGACCTGGCCCCTATTTCGATCATTCTTTCCATAGCTAGATACGTAGATAGATATAGAGATATATAGATTGAGTAAGCAGAAAAATGATAGCTTATGTTCATTATGTGGCCGGCCACATTAGAAATATGAAAACGCCTTCCAAATGTATTCCACATTATTTTCAATAACCGAACAAAAGCGGAAAAACAGCAAACACATCAACTAAGACCAACACCATCAACAATACACAACAACAATAATAATTGTGTGGAATAATAGATAAACCTCAAGTGCGCGATAATGATGTTGAATCGTTTTAGTTTGGTCATTTGGACAATCTCCCTTACTTCATTGCTTTTGGTCTTATTGTTTCTATTAGTCATGTTATTCCTGTGTACGTGTGTACAACGTACATGAGTTTTTCATCCTCATTTGTTTCCGATTTATTTGTTTGTGCCTTCATTTCAGTGTCTTCGCTTTTGTTCGTCCATTTATTCTGTTTCATACGTTGTAGAAAAAAAAACTTGTCTGAATGTCGAGAGCGTTCCGAAAATTAATCGATTTTCGGTGCTGATTTCTTTTTCTTCCAGAATATTCATAATTTTTGTTTTTTTTTCTGCTTCGATGTTATAATTATTGCGTTTTAAGCGTTTAAATACACGTATGTAGAAATTAGTTATTTCAATGTTCTGCTCTCTCTCTCTCCATCTTCGTTAATGTCAAGTCTCGGATTCGTGTGTTTTTTTTTTTTTTTGTCATCGTCATTTAGTGTAATCAAGCGGTATAAGCCCGTGCGAACATCAACAAAAAAAGATAAACCAGAGCATGACTCTGGTCTTGATGGAAATTACTTTTGGCTTGATATAAATGTATTTATAAGATATACATTGTTCAGGTGAAGTTCGGTAGCCGGTTTAGAGTCCGGCTGATGTTGTGTAACGAAACCAAGAAAATTGAATTCGTTTAAAAATAAATGGGCTTTTGCGTGATAATCGTAGTACGACTGACGACTTGTCATTTTTTTTTTATTCTTCTTCGTAAACTTCTCCTTTTCGTTCAAAACTCATTTACTTCAGTACACCTCACAACTAATAACACCAATTAAGTTTAATTAAATCACTTACAGGCACGACATCTCATTCAATATTTTTTTGATTTTTGACAATTTTTTTTTCAACCTTCATTGCTTATTCAAAATTGTGTGTACGGAAAAAAAATTGTAAAAACAGTAATAATTCATGTGGTCAAACCACTAAGCATGACAAATATTTGGTCCCATCTGAAGTTTAATTTGAAATGTTTTCAATAATTTTAATCAAAATTTCTATATTTTTGGATTTTTCTTCATGTAATGTATGTATTCATTAAGAATATAGATGTGAGCACTGCTTTTGTTGAAAAAAAAGAAAACGAAACATATTTAGTAAAATATTATTTACGAAATGAATCATTAACACAAATTTAAGAAAAGGGAGAAAGTTGATTCTGATGCTGGATAAAATGTAATACAAAGCATAGAAATTAAATAGCTATGTTTTTTATCACCTGGGTCATTTATTTGATTTGCATTCAATCTAATGACCGCAAATGTATTCGTCGCCATTCATTGTAATGATTCATAGAATATTTAAGAGAACAATTTGGTCAAAAACAACAATAACAGAAAAAAGAGAAGTGAGTTCTGAATGAACACAGAGAAAAAAGTTTGAGCATCGCCTGTGCCTTGAGGTAAACTTTTTATAAAGGTAATTACGATAGAATGCTGTAATAATGTGTCTAATAAAATGCTTCTAAGTGAGAGAACATTAAGAAGTTCAAATGGTTATGCCATGTAGAATGGTTTACAATCGAGATGCTCAACGTACAAGAGCATGAGTTTGAAAAATATATGTGCGCCGAACTAAGACTATTTCACTCCAAATTATCATTTGTATGAAAGTGTACACTGTACACTGTGTATATTTCAACACACGTTGCCTCGTATAAATGCGAACATTTGTACACTTTATTGATCCTTTAATGTTCTGATGCTGTTGCTAGATGGCCGTTTGTAGCACAATAGCAAATGCTCTCTCTCTCTCTCGTTTGAGATATATCGGAAACTCTCTTGCATTGGGAACGCACATATTCACGGTGTTTCACACCTCTAGTGCTGTGCTCATATTATTACCGTGGTCATTTGGTGCGATTCGTTCCGGTATATAAAAGAACCATGTCCATCCATTATATCTCTATGTTTGTAGAATTCTAACAACGAGCGCTTTGATTCGACAGTTGAATAATTACCTTGTTTTTGAGAGTGTTCAATCATGAAAGAATAATATGTATCTCCGTAATGTTTTCAACTGGGTAAAATGCGCGATATCATCAACAAAAACAAAACACACTCCGGAAAAAGTACGCTATTAAGCCATGTCGTTACCAACAAATTTATGCAGAGGCCCAGAAAATTTGACCAAAAAAAAAACAAACAAATATATTGCATTATTTCACCGAATGAATTTTTATGGGCGAACCGAAAACAAAATTAAATGAAATTATACAATCGATTGAACGGACTTGGCTCGAATGAACAAAGTTTCATGCACTTTTGTACCATCGCATCAAACTATTCACTCGTTCATTTTTCTAAGGTTATATTCCAAATGACCAGTCGTGCGAATCATAAAACATTTTAACTGGGTGCAAGTGGTGTGATTACCAAACGACAACGTATTCGCCATTCTTCATATTCACAGCAATGAAAAGAGAAAGCGGAGAGAGAGAGGAAGAGAATGATGTGATGTCGAAGAAATGGCTATGACTTTATTACTTTATGCTACCATGCTTGCAAGCACCAAAACACACGTTGGCCAATGTCCAATCTTAATTTATTTCTTCAGAGTCATCCGTCAGCAAAATGAGTGTTCATCAAATGTATTGACATGTTGAACAACTTCGATATTGCATTGCCATTTAGTCGAACAAGACTTGAAACTTTCCAATCAACACGTTACAATGTAATTTAATGGATTTATGTCTTATGTCACACCAATGAAAATCGAGAGCAACAAAAAAATAATAATAATAATAAAACCATTGCAAATAGCTCATACACAAACAGGTGACTAAACGTTACAAATGATGCACACAAATTCACCTTTTAAACCATATGAATTACAAATGGTTGTGGGGATGAGAAAGGTAATCAGCCTCGTATACCAAATACCATAAAATAAACAAAAACAGTAAATGGGGCAGTCGTGCTTCTTGAGGTTGTTATACCTTATATTAATATACATTTGACAAGCAACATTTTATCGTTCTTTTTGGATTTTCAATAAATTTCGTTCGTGCTCAAAACTTATTAAACCGCGTTAATTTCATCGCAATTATAACAATAAACTCAATTTTTAATATATATATACACATTATATCTGTGTACTAAAATGCCAACGCCAAGGCGATGGACGATGTGCCAGTTTTTGTTATTTTTTCATTTCTTAATTCATCAATTGAACATTTCCATCTTTTCTCTCTCTTTCCACAGGATCGGCATATAAAAAGGAATGGCGATAGCGAACCATTTGTTGATCCATCACAGGATTATGTATTACTGTTAGGCTATGAGAATGCAACTCACACGGTAATGCGATTCAAACGGAAATTGGACACATGCGATACTTCACACGATGTTCCCATAACGGTAAGTTAGATCGCTCTTGATTGTTTCGTCTCCCTCGTGCCAGTTGCTTATTTTTGCTTTTTTGTTTTAATAAGCCATCGTTGGTGTTGTTATTGTTGTTGTATTCTGGTTTGAAATTTCATTATGCTTTGCCTTTACCTTTGCCGACCTTTGGCTCGTGTTCTTGCCTCACGATGAGCGAAGAGTGCGCGTCGAATTTATGAGGATGGTTATTGACATTTTTAGCATGTAAATTTTTCAAGCCAGACTCAGAAATTCCAATACTGGTATTTTTCACCGCTGTTTTTCTAAACACACGTTGTGTTGTTGTACTTTTTCTTTTTTTGCTCCTCTATATTTTTTTATTCGATCTACAATCCTTTTCGTGCTCCGGATTACTTGTTCTGTAACGTCCATTTCGTGTTGTTGCCACAAAGTTTTCCGCTCATAGTTCGAGCATTGCTCGGAATTATAGGTAAACACATACATCAATAGATAGATATGAAGATAGACCGCACACAAAACAGCTATAACGAGCACTTTGGGGAGATTTTTTTTGGGCGCTGATATGTTTGCAAAGTTTTTTTTTCTATGTTCATTTTCGGCCGAATTTTTGCCTGGATTATTTAAAATTGTGTGCGTTTGCATTAGATTCGTTTATAGTATTTTTGTGCACTGTGAACACTTTATTCACCGTTTGGTGTTCGGCATATTTCAATTTTTTGATTAGAAAACTTCCCTTTGAACGTAAACTCGTTTTTGTTGGAATTTTATTCACAGTGATTCTGTTGATCCCTCTTTGTTTTTTTTTCTGGCCAACTGAAACTTCCTCTATCAGTCATTTGTAGTACAGCTTTTTTTGGGGAACCGTTTCATTCAAATGCCCATACATATGTGGGTATAGTTATATTGAAATCTGATTCAATCCGAAATAGAATCGTATTATCAAAAATGTGTGTACGCTTTTACCTATAGTGTCCGACCAAAAAAGTATATATTTAGTTCATTTAATAGCTGGGATGATGTAAGTTTATTTATTTGGCACACATAGAAAGGCCATTTTGTGAATGACAATATGCTATTTTGTGTATTGAGTTTATTTCCTGCATTCGTTTCCTGCAGATATTCGCAACACAACACACCGAATGGTTTTGAAGTTTTAAGTGTTCCAACACGTAACGTTGGTATTAGCGCAAACCAACCGTAAGCACCGATATGTTTTAAGCCCACCAAATGAATGTGTAAATATTGTAGCTTTAATTCTCTATTTAGTTTACGTTGCTGTTGTTGCATGTTTGTTTTTTACCCGTTTATTTTCGAAATGGTGAACACAAACAATTGAACGAACCAAGCTATACAGTGTCAGACTAATGATTGAAATGCGGGGGTGAAGATAAAATAACAAACAATGGCATCGGCACACAAAATGCAATAAAGTATTAGATTTTTTTGATTTGTATGAAGCAGCGAAAATGAAACAAAAGGGCTGGACTATAACATAGAAACTAATTTTTTTTTTTTTTTGGACAAAAAAGCGACCCCTTCACATAAAAATACGAATGAATAGAAATAAAGCATATTAATCTTGCATCAATAAAAGCATGAAGCTACCGCTTGTTCAATAGACAGCCAAAAAAATTTATATTTGTATTTCTACGCTAAGATGGCGTTAAATGTGTTGATGACATTTGTTCTATTTCCACTTTGCAAAACTAAGCCCAAACATTGCAAAAAAAAAAAAGGGAGGCGAAAAATATGTAACAACGAAAAAAATTAAATGGATAAAATGAAATGAAAAAGGAAAACAAAGGAAAAACCAATTTTGTTTTTCCCGTATTCCAAAAATTCGTATCAAATGAATTATGTAAACGTCCGACAATGACATCAACAAACTACAAAAACGTCGTCTTCGGGCAGAAATTGGATGAAAATAGTTTTGATCGAGTGTGGTTTCGGTTTCAATTTTAATTGTTTTTATTAGTAACTTTATGTATATACGTAGAAATATTTAATTAGCTGCACATTTGAGTTCCGTTCATTTTTGTGTGTTAAAATGCTGTACTGAATATCTATTGAAATTGTTAAAAATTGAATCAAAGAGCTGAGACTTTTTGTCGTGTTGATATCAAGTTTGGTTGAACATTTTTTCGATCCAGATAACAATGGACATTTTCACCGATTCTACGTCATTCGAAACACATGAATCATACCAATGGCAAATGATATTTTGATTCATTTTCAACGATCTGCAGATATAACATTTTATATTCTATTTACGTTCGAAAATGTGCAACCAAACTCGTGGTCAGGAATAATTATTTGTGGTGTATTTTTTAAAATGCAATTCTAGCCGTGTGGTCAAAATCTTTTTGTAACTGATATTTAGTTTGCATAAATTTAATGGTCTTGTAAAGCGTATTAGAGAGCATTCATTCGGATTAACGGATTGCATATTTTAACATGTTTTTGAAAACAATTCCGTTAGCCATATTTTGTATTCTCATATCAAGACTTTCATTGCGGTTGTCTTTTTATTTGGAACTTTCTTTATTAGTTTTATAAAGAAATTTGCCTGCTGCATAAGGAATTCATTGATTTTTTCTCAAACATTGAATTCAACATTTGACACAATGATAATATTCTGATGAGCTCTGAGAAAGTTTTGAGTCTTTAAAATACACATAATAATTAAGAATATTCATGTATGAATGCAGAATTTTTATGCAAGTTTCATAAGCCTTAAAATATCAAATACATGCATTTCACTATCGCCACCAAGTAACCAAATAAACTTTCAATACAACTTACAGAAATAAAGGATCGAGTACTATCTGTCAAAATATTTCCCCCTATGCCAAGCGAAATTAATTCGATATACGGCGCTGATGTAAATGTCACTCTGTCATTTCACAATAATACTTTTTTGGCTTGACAATATATAAGCTCTTCATTTAAAATGCATACACATTCATAATTATTGAATCGTTGAAAAAAATATGTCATAAAATATTTTTCTAACATTTTTCATTAAAAAATTTATTAAAATTTTTTTTTTATAAAAAAATTAATTTGTTTATTAATTACAATAATTTCAACAAAAAATGTTTCATCGATTAAATAAGAATCCAATGTAAATAGTAATGACAATGCGACACCTACCGTAAAAATGCAAAAAGAAACTTAGTTGGTCTCCATTGTAGCATTAACCAATCACAGAGAAGCAAAACGAAGATGCTGTTATGGCGGACCAAAATGTTACAATTCCAAATAAGTTTCCTTTTCTATTTTAACGGTGGGTGTCGCATTGGTATTACTTTTTACATTGGATTCTTGTTCAATCTATGAAAAAAAAAATGAAATTATTGTTATTTTTAAACAAATAAATTTAAAATATAGAGAATTTTTATGATAAACGTAAGAAGAATATTTTATGATAAGTTTCTTTTTTTTACTCGACCGTTCAAAAATTATGCATGTTGAATGAAGAGCTTATATATTGTCAAGCCAAAAAATGTATCATTGTGGAATGACATAGAGTGACATTTACATCAGCGCCGTATATCGGATTAATTTCGCTTAACAAAGGGGGAAACGTCGTACTCGCTCCTTTTACAAAGTAATGTTCCATTGAAATAATGATGAAGATGATGACAGGAGGTTGGCTTTCCAATATATGCAACAACCGAATGTAAACAATTGTATGAAATTCAAAACGATAACGACTATAAAATCGATGATGAATTCACCGTTACAAATTTCATGTGTGCACATGCAAACCGTGTGAAAGTGCAACCAAATAAATGTTATATTGGCTCGAAAATGTTCAATACATGTGCAGAGCATACTGATTGTTCAGAATGTATGTATACATGGAGTGGAGTTAACCAAATTACAAGAGTTGTAACTACCATCATCGGCATATTGGACGATGTACTAACCCAGCTTGCTTGAAAATATTTCACGGTGTTTTTTTATCGAAAGTTTCAGTCTTGGTTGAATTAAAACTAAATCAATCCATTCCAATTCAATCGTGACATTATTATTTGAGCGTATGTGTTTACCTTGTTTTTGCTTTTGGCACTGATGCCAAAAACAAATAATTTCGCATCATGTACGCTTCGCTACATAAATATACAGAATGCCGCATACTAAATCCATTGAACCCTTATCAGTAGATTGCGTTTGTTTTCTGCCACTGGTAGTGATGGTGATTGTATGTGTAATATGGAATACTCCGTGCATAAACGATGACCGCATCAAAATGCATGCTCGGTTCGCTTCCAAATTTAGTTTTGTGTGTTGCGGTCGTGTTTCGTTCTCGTCATCTACAATCGAATCGTTCCAATAGAAATTGGACGACTACGATGAAACGATTCAAAAGAAAATGCGATGTATATAAAAATGACTATTTGTATTCGGTTACAAAACGCCACACCATGTGTACGCATTCCCCTTTCCAAGTGAAAAGTTAACAATCGATAAATACTGAAGCCGCATAATATTTTTCCGAAAGGAAAACTCGCCTTTTTTCTGTCTTTGCATGCAAAGTAATTGATCCAATTAGTTAAACGTTTGAAACATACATTTACGGCTTTTGTCACTTTTCTGCAATTCCACTGATATCCAGTATTATTGTTTTGCCATACAGCATTGTATTCAACTTAGTTTATATGCAACGTTTATATTATCATAACATATGGTTTGTCCTCTCTCTCTCTCTATCTCTCTCTCTATAGGTATAGTTTACTCCATAGTTTAATCACATTACAATTTCTGCTTGCGACATTTTTCCACTTTCTGCTTCCTCAAATATTAAATTGTTTGCCACTTTTGCCTTGGAGTTGGTCTTCGCTCCTAAACACATTTAGTCGAAGAGATAGGTGACATATTACATTATCGGATCACTTGCCTATTGACTGACACGTTCATTCTGCATAGTGCAAGAATCTGTGCTCATGTTTGTTCAGTCGACTGCTCAACTCTCTGGGAATGGTGTACTTTGCATAGTCCCTTAATATAAA